TAACAGAGAGGCAGCAAGCACCCCTGAAACGGCGGTAAACTTCTACCAGGCTACACGGTGCAACAACCCAGAAGATATCCATCTTATTTACTTCTTATGTTCGTTTAATCCTATTAGGGTGAGCGATCGATGAGGATTAAATGGTTGGAATACGGGCGGATTAAAACTACGTACAAAATTTTAGCCCGGAATCCGAAGGACAAATACATCTTGGGAAACCTAAATTGTATGGGAGGAAAATATTAAAATAAAGAAATGGGGCGTCAAGATACGGACTGGTAGTCCAGTAGCGGAGTCCTGTTAATGCGGCAATAACTAGATATTACGTACAGTAATTAGTTTAATAAAGTTAATTATTTATTCTTTGTTTTTTATGTTTATACTGCAACTACAGTAACTACTGTACAGTCTAAACGTTTTATTTAACACTTCAGTAGTGCTTTGCAGGATTACATAGGTAATATGTATAATTAAAAAGTAATATTGTTTGTACTTTTATGGTTGTATGCCGATGATTGTGTGCTTGGCTGCATTGGAGCCACTCCAGCAGCGACAGTTACTTGTTTCGACTTGACAAAGCCATAATTTTAGTGCAGATTGTAACAGCTACTGTCGGTGAAGGCAGGTTCATCATGTACGACGGTAGCGTGCTGATAATCAATTAGAGACGTGGAGTCCAGCTCTATGAATTTTCAGTCGTGATGGAGGACATATAGTAACTAACTAAATCAGAATACCATAATTCCTCTTGAGAATCTGATAATACTCTGGGCTGGTAAAGAAATTTTCTTCCTTGTATGGAACATGAATTTTCATTTTCGGTCTCTGTCCTGAGCAGTAGGACCCCAGATCACACTTTCTCATTCTATTTCTGTAACATTTATTTTAATATTATCTTCACTTCAACATCTAAGTATTCGAAATGTCCTTATTTTCCTCATTTCCAAGCAAAATTTTGTACGAATTTCTCATCTCCCTCATATGCGTTATATTCCCCGTTCTTGAAACTGTATCATGGCTTAAGATTGTTGTGTTCCCCTTATCAAAATTAAAATAGAAAGGTGAAGTTGTCCTTGATGCTTAACTAAGCACCATGCCACACAGAAGTGTGGGGCGTGGCGCTATGGCTGCACACACGTTCTTAACTTTGGCACTGTGTGGAAGTGAGTGGTTAGATTCACGATCCGACCGTTTTTCCCCCGAGGAAAGATCCCTGGTATCCACTGGGTAGAAGGCTGCGTGGACCCCAGAGCCTTTCTGGTCGTTTTAGTATAAAGAAACCTGTCTTTTCGGGAATCGAACTCCGGTTATCCAGCCCACAGGCTAGTCTGTATACTGTGTTGCTTAAATGAGGTTACAATTTTATTTCAGGTGTTGGTTTGTTTAGTTTTTTTACCA